CATCCATCAATCAGCCAAATGTGTGTCATGTCCAATCTTATTTTGAAAATCTGCGATAAACGAACCGTGAAGTAGCGAGGGACTACTGTACTGAAATTTACAGCAATGGCCCGGACAAGCCTTGTACAACTGTTGATCTTGATTTGTGACCTTGACCTTAGAGCTGGGGTGATGGAAAAATTAATTGACAAGCAGTCTAGTGGTGGTACAAATGTGTAACAAGTTGCATTAAATTATCCTGAGCAGCACAGATGTTATTGCTCAGACAAGCAAAGACCCTGCATAACATATGACCTTCATTTGTGACCTTGAGCTTAGCGCTGGCATGATAAAAATGTGTATGTGACTCTTGTCTAGTAATTATGTGTAAGTGTATCATGCTCCGTTAAATTATCTTGAGTGAATCAGAAGTTATGGCCCAAATAATAGAAAGTTTACAAATGTATGTGCTTATGGACAGAAATAACACTGTGAAATTAAAAAAAGGTTGTTGAAAAAATTAGTTTGGAGTTCAGAGGTCACTTGGTCAGGAATGCTTAAAATTCAACAAGAATGCAACAAAAAACATTGTCCATTTTCTCATAATTTTGAGTTACCAACTAGTTGAGAGTTGCAATGCAGAGAGATACTACCATTACTTCAATAAATTAATAAAAGACATTGTGGTAGAAGTGATGTCACACAATGGAAGAACAATATGAAGCAGAACTGACATGGTATTGCAGGTTTTGCAAGTATTTAAAATACCATTAAACTGCATAATTTGAGAAAGTCTTTACAATATCAAAAATGGATCAAACCCCATTCTAGTGTGAGTAGAGAGTATTGTTTCCTTCAACGTTACAATATTTCCTATTTCCTACATCCTGCAAAAGATAAGTTTACCCAAAGAACAGCCCATCACATGTTCAGCACAGACCAGTAGCGATATTAGAGAAGTTGGCAGCGAGCCGTTTCCTATCTGTGGTGGTACCGCCGTCGTTTTATTGCACACATCATTAGCACAGCCGATCAGCCAGCTGTAAATAACATTCATTCAGCTGATGTCCATCAGGCATTAAACTTCTCAACCCCACACCCGACACATGAAACGAAGCCCTTTTCACTCGGCTAATTCCCTCCGACAATAGCAGCAAAATCATTTTTCTGCAGGCTCAGGGTCCACCAGAAGTGATTGGGAAGTAATTCTGGTCAGGGAAAATGAGCACATTAGAGTGCAATGCACCGCTTGGGGAGCAAATGTTATTGGCATCAGCAGTATAAAAAGCATGTTGAGATAATGTGATGAGGACACAGAACGAGTGCAGGATGCAAGATCAACATGGAAGTAATGGAAATCAGAAAAAATCCGCCAGAAGTAGGTGAAATGATATGTTCAGGTTTATAATTTTCAACAGTTAAACACAAATCATATAGATCCAAGGCTACGATCCAACTAAAATAAATTCATACCATTTTATTTTCTTACCCGATTAGGGGTTTTGTACTGCAAATAGTATAAAAGTCATCTACATTTTGGGATTTCTGTATTCATAAGTACATCTAATTTGACTTATAGGATGTGATAAAAAAGTATGACGTGGGCTCTGGATTGATATATTGGAGCTTGTGAAGTCAGGTTTTACCTTTAGAGAAAACATTTCACAGTTACTATCCATCCCCCCTAACTTGTAAAATAGCTAAACTTCAATTTAAACTGGCAGGACCTCAGTGGCTCCTAGAATGGATTTCATCTAAAACTGCACAGACGTGTTCAAAAAACACGACTGATCGATCACCAAAAAGGGAGAGTGGTGCTTGAAAAGTTTACTTTTCTGATATGATCCAAAACATCGTTTGATTAAGTCACTAAAGAAAATGTCTGTATATGAGAACGATGGGAGTAAACAACTAGTTTGAAACAGTCACATTTTAATCAGCAGGAGAGCAATCAAGCATGAGAAGATGCCGTTTTACTTAAAGAACAAGGACCGATTCAGTTTTGGCTGTGACGTCATGTCACAATGAAGTTTCATACTTTGGAATTTCTAAAGACCTTGAAAAAGGCGGTCAGTGCTTGATGATGATGATCAATGGTTGATGCTTATTAGTTTGAATTGTGGTAATTTGTCCTCCAGTAGTTAAAGGCTATGGCAACATAACAAGCCACCCCAGCTATAGGATTGGTTCCACAAGAGAGGAGCCCGATAACAAAAAGGTCTTCCTCCCATTCTTCTCTTGGGAACTCTAGGAACTGCAAGTAAGCCTGCAATCTGAGAGCAAACTGTTCTGTTAGGAAAATATGGAACAATAAGATCTCTAATATAAGATGGACCTAGGTTGTTAAGGGCTTTGTAGGTTAGAAGTAAGATTTTGAATTCCATTCTGGATTTGACATGGAGCCAGTGGAGAGAAGCTATACGCTTCACTGTGTTTGATGGAACAAAGAATTTGAAACTTTGTGAAATCTAAAGGGAAAATTTAGGGACATTAAAAAAAAAAAAAAAAAAATTAAATGTCTTAAAATGACCAAGTCAAAGTCCTGAAGGACAAAAACAAAACAAAGTAATGTCACACATACAATAATCCACTAGAATGAGTACTGAACCAAAAAAAAACAAAACATGAAAAAAGAACTAATCGATACGTGCATCAAAAGACAGCTCTAGTATAAAGCGCTATTTTCTTGTGTGATGTTTTGGGCATACCACCCTTCTTCAGACTACAAATCAATTTGTTCCTTTTTCAAGTCAAAGTCCTGACCTTAATCCAGTTTGAATGTTGTCGAAGGACCCGAAGAAGGGGAATTCAAGCCAGCAAACCACCCCAGAGTTTAAAGAGTATTGACCAAAAACTTTTCAAAGCAACTGCGTTCGACTGATCAGCGGTTACTGAAAACAGATATTACTGCACAAAGTTGTAACAAAAGGAGCGGAGCATAAAGGTTCACGTTATCCCACAAGAAATAACATTTTGTACAGATTTGTTTAGTTGGTCTCTACATCCATTATAAGAAGGAAACTCTGACAAGGTTTAAAGCCATTTGTACAAAAATAAAGAAAACTTTTAAAGCATGACAAACTTTTGCTAGTATAAAGGATATTTATGATTTAGATTAGTTTAAAATTTATTCTGGAAAATTTCCAGATAATTTGAAAATAGCAAAAGATAGTTCTTCTTTATAAGAATGGTAAGAAATGTGTGTTCACTAATTACAGAACAATATCCTTGTTGCCACAATTTTCAAAAATATTAGAGAACTTATTTGTAACCAGATTACAGTAGATCGATTCATAGATAAACAGAATATTTTAAATAATAGTCAGTATGGGTTTAGAGCAAATAATTCAACATCAGTGGCTCTCATGGAAATAATAGGATATAAAAAATGTTGATCAAAAATAGTATTGTGTTAGCGTTTTTGTTGATTTAAAAAAGGCCTTCAACACTATTGACCACACCATTCTCCTTGAAAAACGGAATAAATATGGCATTAGAGGATTAGCACTACAGTGGGTATCTAGTTATTTGAATAATAGGAGACAGTTTGTGCAAGTAAATGATGCAAAATCAGAATTTTGTGTTCATGTGGAGTTCCTCAGGGCTGTGTGTTGGGACCAAAGTCGTTTATTTTGTATGTGAATGATCTGTTTGATGTGTCAGGGCTTTTGAAGTGTGTTTTATTTGCAGATGAATCCACTTTTTTTTTGTTGTTGTTCAGGAGAAGATATTGAACAGATGTTAGAAATGATACAGGCAGAATTAGTAAAAATACAAACTTGGTTCCAACTTAATAAGTTATCATTAAATTAGGAAAAAACAAACTACACGATATTTAGTAATAGAAAGAAAATTATCGAAGTCCCATTTAAAATTGACAATATTGAAATTCATAGCGATAATGGAATTTTTTGGGTGTCGTTATTGATGAGAAGCTGACGTGGAAATCTCATGTAAATTACTTAAGAATAAAAAATAGCAAAATCAATTTATAAAACAATATGTTTAAAAAGATGATTAAGTTAAAGTTGTTGGGAAGGCATAGTGCCAGGTGAAGGATACCTGATGTTTTTTGTTTGCAATTTGGAGATTGTTCAAGTGAAGGTTGCTGTTTGTAGTTATTTTATATATTTTTTTAAATAAGGGGTAGATATAATAATTTTTGTCTTCTTTCTGCATCCTTTTCATTCAATGTTTTTTCATCTTCTTTTTGATCAATTTGTTTGTTTATTTTAAATGAATGAATAAATGAAAATGTATTTTACATTTCTAGTAACTAAATCACAATAACAAAAAGTTATTGCACAATTGTCTTTAGACTGCAGAAATATAAAACATTCCTTCGTCCACCCCGTCCCTAAAAAAAGCTTAGCCATTTTAAGATATTAAAAAAAAACAAAAAACATCTAAATTAGTTTTCAAAACCCATGTGTTTGAAATTGGTGTAAAAATGAAGAATGGATGGCATTAAAACCGTCAAATTTAAATAACTAGGAGAAAATGGTTGGCTTCTTTCAAAAAGATTACAGTCCCTGTGAACGTGAATTACAGGAACTTGTGACAGAATAAAAAAGTATAAAAAAATGTCTGATGATGTACCAAAGAGAATTACATTAATCTGGATGAATGCTAGTCTAATTAATGCCACTCTGTTAACGCAGACAAAGTTTAGCAACAAGTTGTTAGTTTTGTAACATCAACAGTTACACAGGAGGTCATTGGGTGTAAACCTTTAAGACAGATTTCTTATTTTAAAGCTGTTATTGCATGTCTTGATTTATGCCAACAGACTGTTTAGTATGCAAGAAGTGCTACCAATGAGCACCTGTGCCAGCAGCTTACCGGCCTTACAAAACACTCAGTGTTTTACATTTAAATTATCCTCCAGTTTTTGTTGACTCTTTGGGAACTTGCCTAAATTAAGCCATGTGCTGGAAACTTGTTAACAAAAAGCAGTTGATAAACATCCGCAGATATTGAGAGACATGTGGTTATAGAGGTTCAGTGACAGATGAGCTTACCATAGACATATAGGATGTAGTCGTCATAAGACTCCCCCAATGGGTTGGATGCCACACAACGGTACGTTCCGTTGTAGGACTTGTTTAGATTTTCGATGTAAAGATCGCTGCCGGTAATGACAGCGTGGGTTGGTACGTCATCATCCACTTTCACCCAGTTTACTCGCTGTGGCCTGAAATGAGGAGAAAACAAACAAAAAAACATTGACTATCTGTATAGAAACTTTATGTCCAGGTCATGGTTTTTCAAAGTGCCTGAGCAGAAGGAACCTGGATTATGTCTGAAACAGAAGATGCCATCTGGACGAGATATAAAATGTCTACTTGAATTTTTTTCATGTCAGACTTGCAGATTACATATTATAGCTATAATAAAGTTATTAAATCTAACGTCATCATGTGCAAGACACCTCAGTAGCCCTATGCTGCGGTGAAGAAAACCTGTTTCAAGTTGTTGTTCTTTTATATTGACAAGGAACAAAAACATGTCAGGTGATGATAAACTTTTTATACAGCTCTCATAGTGCCGTGTTGTTGGGGAATCAGGAGGGGAGGATGTACCATTGCTCCAACAGCTCCAGGGTCCAACATAAACCTATTATCTCTAGAGTGAAGGATTGGTCATACTGTCACCAGTAACCTTTTTGTTCCATTATTGTTCCATGGAAACTTCGTTTATCTCCCCATCTCAATCTCCAACTGTTTATCCATAATCAGGTCGTGAAGGCAACGGGTCCAGGAGAGAAACCCAGACATCCCTCTCCCCAGTGACACTCTCCATCCAGCTCCTCCTGGGGGAATCTGAGGTATTCCAATGCCAAAGAAGATACACAATCCCTCCACTGAGTTCTGGGTCTACCCAAGGGCCTCTTACTAGAAGGACATTCCCTTGAGAGCATTGCCTTTTGACTCAACTCTTTCTCCCCCACGATCGACCAAAGCAACTCCCTCATTATGGAGGATAAGGTCCCAATCCATAACTCTCGCCATCCTATCAGCACTCATGAACAAGACACACAGATACTTAACCCTCAAGGACATGGACTAAACGTGTAAGCAAGTTTCATTCGGCTGCTCCCTTCTTTTTCGGCTGCGAGTGAACACGCATGATTGATTGACTGAACTTGTATGTGTGCATGAAGTTTGAGTCGCCAAAGGACAAATCTAACAAAACCTTCTCAGAATTAATCCCGAGGACCTAACTCAACCTTTTTAGATTTATCTACCTGGATTATTGAGCATGAATCAGGACAAAGTCCACATATTTTTCCACGATCAAGAGAGCTTCCTTACTCCAACTGGATACATGGTGTAACATGTTTAAGCAGGTGCAGGTTTGATATAGTCACGACAGTGATAACGTCATGCCAAATATTCCACGTTTTATCTCTTTTTTATTGCATATTTTGTTTTTGTTTTTTTCAGAGAAAGAAAACCCGTGTTTTTATTTTTACAAGAATGGAATAAAAATGTAAATAAGAAAAATAATAATAAATGACTTTATATATATAGTAAGGTCTGAAGTTGTTGAACAGATTTGATGGAGTGGAAATAAAACAACATATTTATCTTTACTGGACCTTTAAGTGTATAGTCATTTTAAAAGGTGCCTCAAGGGTTACATTTCTCCGTCTCTCTTCTCTTTAGATTTTTCCTAAAACGTGTTACTTAGCTGTGCTAGCTCAAGAGTTTTAAATAGCTACTTAACTGCACTTGTGCAATACTTGTAGACAAATAAATGTTGGCACAGTAAATCACAGTAGCTTTCATAATACAGAGTGACTGAAATAAAACAAGACAGTAGGGCAACAGTTGGATCTTGAACAGAGTGTGGCGAACTATTCCAATACAATCAATGAAAAAGGTCTTGATCAGGTCCCCAATTTAGTACTTGCAATCAGCTTGATGCATACCCGGTTAAAATTCATTAAGTCAAAACCTTTCCCACTTTTAGGGTCCAAATGTTGTGTCTCATAATTTACATTTGATATTTATTCCTGCTGCAAGTCAGAAAGTAAAACAAAGTGCGAACAAGAAGCAATAAAGAAGACAAAATGTCCTTAAGACCAAACTTTATTGTGACAGTAGGACCATTTTATCTCAACAGAGCTGTTTACTTTACAGGTTTACTTTTGCTTCTTGGGAGTATCTAAAGGTAGAAAGGGAGGGAGAGCTAAAAGTCTGCTCCTTGAAGATGCCGACACCCAGGACAAGGCTTCAAACTTTTTTTTTTGATAATACTCCTTGTTAGTCTTGGCACAGATGACTGCAAACCATCTTTGTTACGCTATATGCCCAGAATCTGTCCTCAAATGCAATGGTTCCCAACCCAGGTCCTTGAGGAATGCCATAGACCCAGACTCTGTCCTCTACTGCAATGGTTCCCAACCCTGGTTCTTGAGGAATGCCATCCTGCATGTTTTAGTTGTTTCTCTGCTCCAACACACCCGATTAAGTGGTTTAATTACCTCCTTAAGTTTGGCAGAAGGCTGCTAATCACCTTTCATTCAAATCAGGTGTGTTGGAGAAGAGAAACAACTAAAACATGCAGGATGGTGTTCCTCAGGGACCTGGGCTGGGAACCACTGCTCTACTGTCCTTTCATTCTCCATTCATTAATGTGATCATGTTAGAACTCAATAGTTCTGCGAGTCTCCATCTTGGGAGTTTGTTAAACCAACAATACACACTGCATTAATAACAGGTCCCACACCTTGTAGGAGTACACATCTGTATTTCTGAGCACACTTATAAACTCTGCATTAAGATTAATACACAGTTTTAATGGCTGAAGTACATCAGTTGCAACTTTGTGCACACTTTGAAACAAGGTCCAATCAAATTTAGGCAAATTATTATATAGATTAGAACATAAAACAATAGTAAAATAATTGGTCTTGGTGTGTACATCTTGGTGGCGAGAACTGCACATCAACTTGGAAGTTGCAGTTTATACAATCTTATGCTTGCTTGTGAAGTTTTTGCATAGGTTTCTGCCCACAAAGAATTTATCTTTGTTCTCTTTTCTACGTCGACTGAAGGTGGCGTATTCCATTTTTATGACAATGAGCACCAAGTGTCCGGAGTCACAAAGGGTTTGGAACAAAAGACGAAGACAAAACACCTCTATTTGGCTGCGGCAGCGTCCACCAACCACTGCCAGCTACCGTTATTTCCCCAGAGCGTGTGCTGATGGTCTCTCTTGCAGTTTTTTGTTGAGGTACTTTAAAGTTTTTTTCCCCATCTCTTTGAAACCTTTCTGTGTGAATCAAGTAGGAAAATAGGCGATAGGAATAAAAAGATGAGGTGAAATATACAACAGGAAAAAATATATATGTAGCAGTTGAAGCTCAAGAGCAAAACAAACAAACCACAAGTGTTTTTAATAGCTGTGGTGGACAGCTTGAAAGAGAATGCACCAAGACTATTGCGAGTGCTCTCCAGAAGAAGTGAAAAGTAAACAAACAATACATATAAAAATATCTTTCTTAAGATGGAAAAGAAGACATATATAAAAAAGAAAATCCACAGGTGGACTGGATGTTGTGAGAATGGAAAAAAATGAATTTAGAGAAGGAACATGGACAGAGATAGACCAAAGAGGTAAGGTGGGGATGCAAGGGGAGAGGAAGGGCAGGTGTCTAGAATACAAATGGCTGCCAGCAGCCGGGGCCCTCTCTGCTATCTGCTGGTAATGACTACACAACTCTCAGCAGCTCTAATGAAAATGACTTCCAATTCCCGGCTCACTGTATTGATTGTGTTTTCATCTTTATAAAATGAATACGGGGAGCAAGCTCGTCTCTATGCCAAGTTTGAAAACTGGGGGGTGGATGGGGGAGAGGTTAGCAAGTACACAGTGTTTTGATCTGATTGTGTTTGTGTGTTCTTGTATATCTGTCTCTCGGAGATCAAATGGAGTGTTAGAGTCTAAGAATGAAGATATCTCTTGCAAAGTGAGGTTGACAGGTTGGGATTGGTTCCTATTTATGGATAAGATTAGGATCTGAATTAGGGTGGACTTTGGGCATTTTAGGTTTTGGCACAAATTAATGGCTTGTGTCAGCAGTGAATATTCAGTTACTTTTTTAAAATCTTACCAATAACTTAAAATGATTAAAAAATGATGAGCATGTTGGCTCAGATAGGGACATTGGGTTGGGATACAAACAGTTTAAATGGGATTGAAGAGATATATACGAACAGTTTAAATGGGATTGAAGAGATATTTCAGAAATGGGACCAAAAAACAAACAAACAAAAAAAAAATTGCTTTTCAAATTTAGCTTTAGTGTCACAGAATGAATGTGATTTTTGAAAATACTAAAAAACAAATTAGGAAATTTCAGAAGAAATTCAAAGCCACTTGACATTTACCTTAATCAATGTTTTTTGGGAAAGCAACACTTTAAACAGACAGATAGAATTGAAGACTAGAAAATGGGTCTCAAGCAAACTGATGTGTAAAATCTATAAGGGATATAAAAATGAATCATGGAGTGAGTGGCCAAGTCTTCTGGTGGCTCAACTTGTGATTTTCATGAGCATACAGTGTTTTGTGTTGGAGTTATCTCCAACACAGACGGTTCTTTTACAAGTTAAAATTCAAGTTCAAGAATCTTTATTATCACCAAGGGGCAATGTGTTTCACAGTCAGTAGACACATAAAACATCCATACTAGATACAATAACAGTACAGAAATCATCAGTGTTTGTTGAGAAGCCTGACCGTTACGGAGATGGATTAATTTTTTAGTCTGTAAATGGTAAATGGACTGTACTTGTATAGCACCTTTCTATCTAATCAAGACACTCAAAGCTCTTTACACTACAATCTGTGCCCTCATTTACCCATTCATACAGCACTCTACTATTTCTGTACAAAGACTAATCAGGGCTTTATCACATTCATACACCAATAGGACACACATCAGAGGCAATGAGGGGTTCAGTGTCTTGCCCAGGGACACTTTGGCATGTGACTGCTGCTGGAATCGAACCCCCAACTCTTGCATTGGAGGACGACTGCTCCAACCACTCATCCATAGCAGCCCCTACATCCTACATCTGGGCAGCAGATAACTGTGTCCAGATGGAAGCAACCTGAACTCACCATGGAGTGGATGATCAGGATCTGCCAGAATCAGCCTGGTCTTGTTCACTGACCTCACTTTGTGTAGGTCAGTTAGGTTCTGTAGGGCCGTGCCAGCAGATTTGCTGCACATCCTGACAAGGTTCAATGATTTAAAGTAAAAAATATATTGGAAGTCAAAGAAAATATGGGTGTGTGCAACTTTGGGGTCGTCTGGGAGAAAACCATGATTCCAATAGCAACAGTGACGAGACATTAAAATAACAGCACAGAAATCATCACTGTTCGTTGAGAAGCCCGATTGCTACAGGGGTGAATGAGACATAACATTTGGTGGAAAGAGGACCAAAATCACTTACATTTTGATGCATAAATCGAATAAGAAGTGCAAAATTTATGCAAATACGAAGGATTTTAAGGGCGTGAATGGTGGTCTTAGCAGAATCAGTTTTAACTGTTGGCCTCAGCTCCAAGATAAATAATGTCAAAGTAAACTCCAACCACAGATAAGCTGAATCGAATAAATAAGAGGAATATTAGGATACATCAAAACGAAGTGACAGAATTGATTTTTTTTAGCTCAAAGTCAGTACTTCATGAAATCGTTCAGAGATTCTGTGATATTTTTATTCTGAATAAAACTGTTGACATTTTGATTCTTTAAAAGTCTTATGGATCCAAAGTTACTCACTTACTAGTAAATCTTCAAGCCATTTGACAAGCGTTTTGTTTTTTTAATTATCCCAGGCCATTTTCTTTTGAGACGCCTCGGTATTCTGTCTCTTCCTAACAAAAGAAAATACCCCCTGGTCACATTAAAGCAATGTAATTTCATAACTCCAGCGTCATCTGGTGATTGTTTTGTTGTGTTCAAATCTAAACCGTCTTGTCAAACAAACAAATTAATATGATTGATACAAACACTGCCAATATTATTGATGTTTGGATAGTTCAACAGGGTTCTTGCCCGAGGCTCTCAGCCCTTCACACAACTCTGTATCATTCTAACAGCTTCATTTGCACCCCATTACATCTCATCTCACAAAGACCTGTCATCCAAACAAACCAACATCTGTGTTAGAAAATGATACATATGGAATAGTTGCCTAACGAGCGACAGGCAGGAGCTTTCAGACGAAAGGGGCAGACGTTTCAAAGGATTGATTAGCACTAATAAAAGCCTCTCGAAGTTTTCAACATAAAGGGAACAATCGGCTCAGCTGTAAGTACAATTACTTAATTATAAAGCAAATTTCATTTGCGCACCTCACTTTCAACAAAGTCACCTTCAGAAATGTTTGACCCCGGTAAAAAAAAAAAACAACTTCTACCGCAACAACTTTTCACTCCCATTAATGCCCCACTGTGCTCCTGCTTTCTTTCCCAGGTATCACATAATAAGACTTGTGCTCAAAATGTGACATACCAGTTCTACTAAAACGTACAGTTGCTAGTAAATTTTTGAGTTTCTTTAAAAAAAGTTATGTTAAGATAATTGCCACATATTCAGGTAAATAATAACTGAAAACCTCTTACTCCTAAGATACCTCAGATTTGCACCAATTGCAACCAATGTTTGAGTATAGAGTTACACGGATCGAGCTTATAATTTGATCGATGAGACCTTTGGGTGTACTAACGTTGTCTTTTGATGCAAACATTTATTTCTTGTCAAAAGCAAAAAATAAATAAGTAAATTGCGTCTTACTGAGGTTTGCCTTTGGTTTGACACGTCAGCTCCAGGTTCTCCCCTTCCCTCGTCAAACCCTGAGGAAATTCCACCACAATTTTCACTTCTGGTTTGTCTGAAAAGATGAAAAAATAAAATGAAACCGTGGCAAAATATGAGCAATAAGACAAAATATATGCTTGTCATGATTCAGTGACAGAACTGCCACAGAAACTGTACTACATGGTTAAAGTTGATTATTACAATATTATTGTTTTACTATCCACATACAATCAGCGCAGCGGTTGTAAAATGAAATGACGAATTCTGGTGATTTGGGTTATGCCTGTCTGATGTGAGAGATGTTTAAACTGTGAGGCGAGTCCATGACTGACATCCACCCTCCTGCTGCCCTTGGGTCAAAATGACCCATGCAGTTTGGAAAAGAGGCCTCGGTGGTCATTTTGAACCAAGGGCAGCAGGAGGGTTAAAGCGTATTGCTGATTGAGCTGACCAATCAGCTCCTCATGTTCCTGCTAACCTAATATGAACAGGAACTCAAGCAGTGATGACACTTAAATGTAATGCATAAATAAATAAATAAAATGTCAAAAACTTGCAATCTTCTCACTACTCCAAGACTGGAGCTGAACTAAACAGTGTCTCAAAGATCTAAACATCCAAAACTTCAGCAAAGGCCAGCAAGAATGGATGATATGGCCATTTACAAATGTGTTAAAAGCTTGGCTTCAATATTATGGATTAGTTTTGATATTTACTTATTTAAGCAAGAACATTTATTTGCTGTCAAAAAACAAAATTACAGTATTATACGCGGTACAATATACGCCTGTCAACAAACCATTACACCGCAATCTATAGCAATGGGCTGGACAAGCAAACACTTTGTTTAACGTTGACCTTGATTTGTGACCTTAACCTTTGAGCTGGGTGATAAAAAGTATATGCAACACTATGTCTAGTTATGATGCGTATCAGGTTTGGTTTATTTGTCATATAATAATAATCATAATCAACACAAGGTCAACAATGCAATGAAGTGTTGAGGATGTGAAGAACCATCTTGACTCCATCCCCAAAAGCAGCAACAACAAATACCAACGCATGCAACAAAAATACAAAAACAACACACTAAAAGTGAAAAAGAAACAAATCTACAGCAGCATGGTCCTATTAGCAGAATGGTTCTGATAGTAGTGAGGTTATCTTAGCTACATGGACCAGTTATCACCATGGTGGTGTTAGCAGTGTGGTTTGGTTAACATATGTGCGTCAAGTTGCATTAAATTATCTTGAGCTGATCAGAAGGTATAGCTCAGACAAGCAAACACCTTGCACAACATTTGAGCTTGATTTGTGACCTTGACCTTGGAGCAGGGGTGATGGGTATACAAGCCTACACAACACTAATAATGATGCATGTGTGTTAGAAGTTTTGTTAAATTATCTTGAGCGGATCAGAAGTTATGACCGGGACAAGATGGAAGGATGGAGGGATGGACAGAGACAGTGCTGTGTGTTGTCATGATTGTATGTTTCCTTTCAATGGCAAAATTAGTTCTTTGCGTTTAACCTATACATCAGGTGGAGCAGTGGGCAGCTATGAAGGCTGCCCGGGGAGCAATTAGGGATTGGGTGTCTTGCTCAGGGACACATGTGGGAATGGCAGGAAGTCTAACCTGTGACTTTCGGGTCTCAAGTCGGCTGTCCTACCTCTACCCCATCTCGACCTTTACATTATACCATAGACTATACCATAATACGTCTGCTGGGAGTATTAAAAAGCTAACCAGTCAAAGAAAAGAGACTAATAGAACCTCTATCTGCAAGAACATGAGTGAAATTTACAAAGTTTATTATACATTTAGGAAGTTTTTGTAGATAAAGTTGATAACATGCCCGAGAGAGGACAAAATAAAGCATAAACTGATGGTGCCAAACTGTTTGGGGGCATACATTTGCCCACATAGCAGTGAAAACCAGTATGACTTGATTCAAGGTTTACGCGTATCATAAATAAAAGGGGATGGAGAATACACTCCTGGGAAATCCCTTGAATAAGAGGCGAGTGAGAGAAGGAAGCACCACCAAGCATAACAGACTGTTGACATTTGGCATTTTCATCTCCTGTTGGGGGATCGCAGTGGAAAGTTTAAAGCCAAGCAGGGAAATGGCAGTAGACAGAGAACATTTATCGATGCTTAAAATGTCTGGATCAAGCATCTGCAATAGCTGCTGCTTTAAGAGACCTTGGAGGGAGAGCAGTGCAAGGGGGAGTTCCCAAAAGGGTTGGGGATTAAAAACAACAAAAGATGCAACAATCAGAACAACATCCATAACTCGCTTTAGGAGAATTTAAGAGAGGCAGTCAATTTTATGCAGCTGAAAGGTAACTTTATTGACAAAGGAACAAAGCTACATGCTGCACAAGCTTCGTCTCTGTGGAATCGACTTGACGCAAACAATAAATTACATTCAGGGCGTTACTCCTTTCCTCTTGCTACCCTCTCAACCAGAGTCTGCTCCTCAGTAGCTACATCTCAAACTCCAGCGGCAGTGCTTCTTTATTGATGGAGGAATTTTAAGTAAAGCCAACACTAAAACACAGCCTAAAGCTTCAGGGAATGGTAAGTGGGCAGCACCACAAACAGATCCAAAAATAAAAAAGTTACCAAATAAAATTCTGACACAAAATGAGATACCGCTCAAGAGCAAAGGCGGTAGAACAGAAAATGTGTTGTTTTGACAAACCAGTGGGACGCTTTGTTAGTTCCTGCCGCAAAGTGTTTTTTATCATTTCCATTCTATTGACTGTCGCTGGTTTGACCTAAGCTTCTTGTGTACAACTTAGTAAGCAAGATGATGTTTGTTCCAGACCAAATCATGTTTGGTTATGATTTGGGAAAAAGACGTGAATGCCATCTTGCCCTAAACCAAAATAACCTATGTTTGAATATGGCATTCAAAACTTGTATACCTGGTCCTTTAGACGTAATGTTACAGTAGTGCTCCAGCACAAAAGGTATCCCAGAGGAAAACAACAAATGATGAAATTAGCCAAATATAGCTTCTCATTCTCTTTATTAGAGGTGGGAATCTTTACACACAATATGATCCAATTAGAATTTAGAAGGTGGTGGTTTAAAAAACAATAGTCTTTGGATCTCACTTCAAACAAAATCCCAAATCTTGAATATCTCAACCTAAAAAACAAATTTGCTATACACTGCAGTATAAGAGTTTTCAGTGAAACAAGTCTTAAGGAACTTCTTACTGTTCCATATTTTCCTAACAAAGCACTTCGCTCTCAAACTGCAGGTTTACTTGTGGTTCCTAGAGTTTCCAAAAACAGAATGGGAGGCGGAGCTTTCAGTTATCAGGCTCCTCTCTTGTGGAACCAACTTCCAGTTTCTGTCCGTGAGGCTGACACTCTGTCCAGTTTTAAGACTGGGATTAAGACTTTTCTTTTTGATAAATCCTATAGTTAGGGTTGGCTTGGGTTTCCTGAGCTATCCCTTAGTTATGCTGCTATAGGCTTAGACTGTTGGAGGACAAACTGACCACATCTTTTCACTCTGCTACTGTCTTTACTTACTCTGCTCAACCCGTTTTGTATTTATATTTATTTTTTTCTATCCTTGACGTGTTTTTGTCTTTCAGGTACACCTGCACCTACACCTGGACCTGCCATTCTGTGTTCGTTTGTCTCTCCTTCCTGTCTTCTCAAACCACCCGGTCAAAGCAAATGGGTGCTTGTCCTGAGCCTGGTTCTGTTGGAGGTTTCTTGAGGGAGTTTTTCCTTTCCACTGTTGCCAATGTGCTTTTTCAGAATGGGAGAATGCGACAAAGTGAAGATTCGAGTCTGCTGCTTCCTTAGATAAAGAACTTTACTAATTGTCTTTTCTATGTATGTGAATGTTCCTGTAAAGTGCCCTGAGACAACTTTGCTGCGATATGGCGCTATATAAATAAATTGAATTGAACTAAATGAACAGAAAAAGGATTTACAAGTGGAATGCCGAGGTCACGCGTTGTGAAGGGATTTGAATTTTGAATGTTTGTAGTTTCCGAGTTGAGTATTTTCAGAACAGGCATTGAACACTGAATGCAAGTAAACCTAAATGTTTTCGGTGTAAAAATATTCAAGTGAATATAGGTAGTTTTATTTTAGTTTTTTCAAGGCAGCACAGAGTGACAACTCCTAGTGAGTGGAGGAAGCGATTTTATCCACAACCAGGAGAAGGCGGAGCCAGGGGGTGGCCAATGGTGGCCTGGGCCACCATAAATTAATATTCAAACACCCTTCTAGCCACAAAAATCATTTGAGAAAAATACATGTTTAAGCATTATAAAAACTAAAAATAATAGTTTCCTCAAATTATATGGGTGACAGGTTTACATATATATGGCGGCAGCCATCATGGATTTTGACGTGGAAACCTAATGTTTGAAAATAAACTTTCTTATTTGTAGATGTAGCTACACACTGAAACGGAAGTCGGGACCTCACTTATTTTTAAATTTATCATGCTCACAAACAACATGCACGTATGGACAGACGAAATGAGGATATTTCCAGTTCCCCCAATTCAGTCCACAACGGGGTGACAGAAAAGTGACACTGAATTTAACCAAGAATTATGCTTTGTCTTTTTTGGCAGTTGTTTATGTTTCTAGCCTATTTATTTCACAAAACTATATATATATATATATATATATACATACTCAAGCCCATAATTTTGTTTGGACTAATGTATTTTCTATTAGTTTATAACAAAAGTGAAACTGTATTTTCTACAGTTTTAGTGGATTAAACTTAAAATTCAATCAGTGATGTACACAGTTCAGTCATATTTAGCAGATGTACATTTTCTCTGATTTTTGAAAGTCGCTGCCAGTAAACACTCATTTTATGACATTACCACTAGTGGTGAACAGTCCATACCAGTCAGATGTTCTGATAGTGATGGAAGCTGATGCTGTGCCTTCTTAGGCTTTAAATTGTCACATTCCACTTGTCATTGTGGCAGCAAGTAGCTTCCACCATCTGCTTTATGCTTCCTCCTCCTGGTGGAAATGCGTACACATCTTACACATGCTGCGGCTCTTGTTGTC